ATTATTTACGAAAATAATTGATAATATTAATAATCTAAAATTTTAATTGAAAATCATTTTTAAAACCATTTTTATTAGTAAATTCTAGGAGAATTCAAATTATTTAAATAGAAAAATAAATAATTTATTAATTTCATGCTTCTTGAAATTAAATTCTCATAAAAAATGTTATCAACAAATTTTTTAAATCATTAAATTCTTTGGAAGAATTTTAATAAAATTTTTAAGAATAATTACATTTTTCGAGGAATTTGATTAAAATTGTACTAAAAATAATTAAAATTCTGCGATGAACTTTATTATTTATAAAAGTAATTGAATTTCTAAATCAAATTTATTATTTATGAAAATAATTGAATTCATAAAAAAAATTTATTATTTATGAAATTAATTGAATTATTACGAAGAAATTTATAAAATATTTGTTAGTAATTATATTCCTGACAAATTTTTACTATTTATAAAAATAAGTAAATGTTTGAGTACAATATTTTATTAAATTTTTTTTGCAAGAAGAATTTTATTATTTTTGAAAATAATTGAATTTCTACAATCATTCGTAACTTTTCCAAAATTCAATTTTTAAAAATATTTTTTACAAAAATTTTTCTATAAATCCATTATTTTTTATAAAATTAATTAAATGTATATTTACAAATTCAACTAATTTCAAAAAGAATTTTAATTATTAACATTTTGCAAAGATCTAATTTTTTTTAAATTTCTAATGAAATTCATTACCTAAAAATTGAAATTTTATAAAATTTAAAATTAAAACCTTTTAAAGTTTATTTATTTATGAAAATAGTAAACGCAACTCTTTTAAAATTGAATTTATTTTGAAATATTCATTTATTATTTATTTTTTAAATAATTTGTAACTTATCCAAAATAAATTTTTTTTTTTGTAGTTTAAACTAAAATTTTTCTATAAATCCATTATTTTTAATAGTTTTTAAAAAAGTTTTTCGAAAATTTTTAAATTAATTTGTTTTTAATTGAAATTCATTTTTAAATCAATTTTTAAAAATGAAACATAATTCAATAAAACCATAATTTTTTTTTCTACAATAATTCAATTATTTAAATACGAAAAAATTATTCATTGAATATTTGAATGTATAAATTCAGATATGAGTTTTATTATTCCTGAAAATAATTCAATTCCTAAAATGAATTTTATTATTTACGAAAATAATTGATAATATTGATAATCTAAAATTTTAACTGAAAATCATTTTTAAAACCATTTTTATTAGTAAATTGATAAATTCTAGGAGAATTCAAATTATTTAAATAAAAAAATAAATAATTTATTAATTTAATGCTTCTTGAAATTAAATTCTCATAAAAAATGTTAGCAACAAATTTTTTAAATCATTAAATTCTTTAGAGGAATTTTAATAAAATTTTTAAGAATAATTACATTTTTCGAGGAACTCGATTAAAATTGCATTAAAAATACTTGAAATTCTGCAATGAGTTTTATTATTTATGAAAATAATTGAATTCCTAAAAGAATTTTATTATTTATAAAAATAATTGAGTCCCCGTAAAAATGTTATTATTTATGAAAATTGAATTATTGCGAAGAAATTTATAAAAAAAATTTGTAAATAATTGAATTCCTATAAAAATTTTTATTGTTTATGAAAATAATTGAATGTTTGCGTAGAATTTTATTCAAATTTTTTTTAATAATGGAATTTTTTTGGAAAATTTTATTGAAATAGTAGATATTGAAAATCATTGAATTACAGAAAACTTTTGAAAATAATTGAAATTTTGACAAGAATTTGATTAAATTTTTGTAAAATAATTGAATATCAGAAAAGAATTTTATTATTTATAAAGAGAATTGAAATTTTGACGAGAATTTTTAAAAAGTTTTGAACACAATTGAACATAGTGACTATGTTACTAAGTTAGTTACTAAGTTAGTAACTAACTTACTAACTTACTATTCTCCCTGGAGAAGCTAATTTCGTTGAATTTTTACAAATCGTTGACTTTGGTGTTTTATTTAAAGTATAATTTCATTCATAATTAAAAATAAGACCAAAATAGATTATTTTAATTCTTTTTGGTGTTAATTAAATCCTAGAGGGATTAAACTGTTGCATATTATTTTAATCCATTCTAGTGTTATTTTAACACTTCCTGCTTTACTATGTTCTTGTTTGTATTCATCTACATAAATCAAGTTTATTTAAAAAAAAATTGTAATTTAAAAACTTAAACTGTTTTTAAAAAAAATGTAATTTAAAAATAACCTTTTTTTAAAAATCCATGTTTTACTTGATATAAAAATATATTCTGGATATTTTTCATTCTGAAAATTTTCAAATGAAATTACTTTTCAAACATTGATTGATATCGATAACAGAAAAATTATTTATAGAAATTTTAATTTCATCTGAAAATTTCTCGACGTTTGAAAATTTAATTTTACGGTTTAATGGAAATGAAAATAGTGCAAATGTAAACGGAAATTGAAAAAATTGAGGAATTACGTTTTAAAAACTAACTCAGCTGAAAAAATTCTATAAAATTTCACTATGTAGAATCATTATAATTATGAATATTATATGAATACTAGTGAATATTCTACAGAATTTCACTAGAATTATTCTATAGAATACCATTATTACCCTAGGGTATTAATTATACGTACTTTATTGACCTGTGAGCAACGGTCAATAAACTGAATATAATTTTTAATTTTTAAATTTATATTAATTTTGAAGCATTTAGATTTTTAGAATAATTGAGTTAGCGTGTCTAAAATCTGATAATCTGATAATCTGATAATTCTACATTTATTTTATTTTTTTTATTTTATTTAGGTTTATTTTAATTATACATTGTTTGCTGGACATTCAGGTAGTTTATTAAACTTAGAGTAAGTTTCGTGATATTGTTCTAAAATAACAAGACGAAATATCCTTCATATTTCAACGCAATATTCTGACCCTTTCTCGTCCAATTTTTAAAATATAGCTAATACACTGTTTGCGAAATAAATGTCCATTGGGAAAATAGTAGTAGTATATATTTTCGAGAAAATCGATGTTCTTTTCCTCCATCGGAGGACCTGGGAATACTAATATTCAAGTATGATGATAATAGAATTTATGAGATAATTTTAGGTCGATAACAGAGAATTCCAAGTTTCACAGATAGTAATAGCGTCGTTTCGGGCCATGTATCTTTGCAATGGCGGAAATAGTATAGTGTCGCTAGCCATATTCTACGACGAGTTTAGTCGGGAGCAACAGGTACTAACTTTTCTCGCTATACGTATATACATACAAGTACCAACATTGTGAAAATCATAGCTTTTCTCGGCACTCATCCAAAAGTCATCCAATAATAATTTTTATAATTCACCAAAAAAACACTGACTTCTGCTTTTTCTCGTACTAAAATATCACCTAAAAAACTTTATTTTTCTTCTCGTTTTATATACGCTTTTATCGGTAACAGTTTTTTTTAAAATAAAATAAACAGTAATTGTTTTGAACGGTCACTGATAAAACCTACAATTAATTAAAACAACGAGACTCATTAAAATCAAACTCTCATCGATTCTAATTACCATTAACTGAGGCAATCGCCTGAGACTGCTAATTGTAACTGTGTCTTTTGTTTATAAATGCCATTAGGTCAGGCTCATTGGAATAATTTTCTGCTAGTAGCTAAAAATCTTGCCAGTCATTAAAAGAACCATTACTTGAAATTATTATTTTTTTTTTGGTGGAACGATTTTATCGAGTGCATCAGTATTTATTCTCATGTTGCGTTGGTTTAAATTTTAAAATTACCTATTTCTTTATTATAAAATGGAAAATTATTTTCATTATTCTTTGTCTAAATTATTTTTTTTATGTAATGAAATTTATATCAAGAGTAGTTAACTGTTGTTGAACGAAAATTGAAATTAAATGAATTAAAAAATAAATTCAATAAATTTTGATGCTGTTTGTATACTAGACCTAAGCAATGTTGATGTCTATATGAAGCAACGATTCTCAACCGTAAGTGAGATCGTAACCTCGTTTTCGAACTCTGCTACTTAATTAAACTTGGATGAGTCGTAAAATCTTATTGAACACCTGTTAGTTGCAAATTATTTCTTTTTCACGATCTTTCAGACGAAAATAAATAAAAAAAAAAAATTAGCAATACAATGAATTTTTTTTATTTGTTTCACTTCTCTGAAATTAGAATACTAGTTTTAGAGAAGTGAAACAAATAAAAAACTTTCATAAAAATGAAGTAAATAAAAATAAAGTAATTAATATACCCGAATAGAAAATGGAAATATTTTTAAATAAATAAAAAAAGTAAACAAAACTTTAAAATATACAATCTACATATAATAAAATCAGTAATTTACTAGAGCAATAATTTCATTTACTGATAAACTTGTCACACAATATAACCAGCGGTATTTCTCATTAAGGAAATTGGTAACTCATGAAATTAATGCACAACCCCTATTTTCCCACACTAATGAAAAAGAATAATTGAAATGTAAATTATTTTCTAAACTAGCATAATAAATTTATGAATATTATTAATATAGGAAATTTATAATAATGCTTACATTTTTTGGAAATAAAAATAAGTTTTTTTCTTCCCATAGTTTGTCATATACTTTTCTCATGGTTTGAAAATAAAAAAAATAATATTGTTTCTTTTCTATAGTTTGAAAATATAAAAAAAAAAATTTTCGACAGTTTGAAAATATAAAAAAATCAAATTGAAATTCATATTTGTATTTTGAAAGTGATTTTAAAAAATTTATAGCGATAGGTTATAATAAATTGTGGAAAGTGATAAAAAAAGGAATTGCATTTTCGTTTCTTGGTTGACTTGTGAAGTGAACACTATTCGCCGAAGAGTCAGATCTCGAGTGACAATTTTACTTTCCAAGTAGTGATTTCCATGAATTTACTTTTTTCGAAGAGAACAATCGATGAAGCTTATAAAAGAGAGAAAAAGGACATTGCGCGCACAAGAAAGTGAGAAACTCTCTGTGTATATATTGAGAATTCAAATAAGATTTGCCGAGAATAAACTAGCTTCACCGACATGATAGTTCTTTGCAAAATAAGTGACCGTGTTAATTGTTCTGTGTTACGTAAGAGAATCGATTTATGTGACAAACCCACCCTCAAGAAACATCAGCGTAATATAACGTTTTATAGTGTTACAGCCTCAAGGAGCATATACAAGTAGCTATATATAATTATTATAAACAAAAAATAATAACATAGGTACTAGCAACAAAAACAAAACATACCAGCTAACTTCTTACATACTTTTTTTAAAAATAAAATTATCAATTTTAAGAAAAATAGAATTTAAAATTTTTTAATTCAAATTATTTTTCATAAAAATAAAATATAAATTGGAATATAGATTATTACTGTTATAACCACAATAATTGTATATTCTGAGACAAGGGATTCAAGGAAAACTCTGACATAGACATTTTTATTAAAATTACTGGAAAAATTAAATTTTTAGAATTCATTAGAAAATTCTTAATTTTTGGCGTCCTTTTTGTTTGCCTTATAAAAATCACCACAAATTCTAATATTAAATAATTAGTTAATGCTATAAATTGCAAATCATCAGAATTCATAACAGTTGGAAATTTTTAGTTTAATTTTCTGAACTAACATATAATAGTTAATATATTAATAACCACACGGTTGACGAGCACTTAAACATATATTTAATACCACCATTAAATATATAATGTTAAAATTTTCCAATTTTGACCTAAATTTTAATATTCTATTTCTCTTTTCAACCGAATTTTCAAATTAAATCTTTACATATTACCTCACGTTAGATTAATAAATATAATAAATAAATCCAAACCAATATATTTTAAGTGAATTTAAAAATGAATGAAGCAACATTAGAAATAAAACCAGATTAACAAATTTTGTGATTAAATAGATGAAAAATTGCAATTTAAAGTCGATTATTTTTCAGATATAAAACATATTATTAGAAAATCCGAGTCCAAAGTGTTTTAATTGATTCCTGTAATTAATGAAAATTAAACGTGACCTAGATTTTACTTTTTTGCATATATTCAAATACCGTTAAATGATGTCGTGTATTATACACTATATGCACGCAGAAAAAAATTAAATATATCGCGGAGAAAAAAAGGAAAACTTTTAAAGAGGAGAAAATTACAGAAATTGAATTTAAAAATGAAGTTTTCCAAAGAGAGAGAGCACGTGCTATGGTCAGCAAAAGAAGCTTTAAACACGATTCATAAATTTGCCAACTCCACATGTTTTTATGCAGTTTAAATCACACGAACAAAGAAAATCTCTCTAGAATAATCGCTGTAGTAAATCTTTACACGACAGATAAACCTAGGATCTTAACGTGTCTCTTTAAAAAAACACGTTATTTGATTGCCCACCAAACTAATGTATTTAAAATGTCAAAAAGATAAATTGCCGTCACAGTAAAACGTGAGGTGTTAAAATAACACCAGAATGAATTAAAATAATCTGCAACAGTTTAATACCTTTAGGATTAAATTAACACCAAAAAGGATTAAAATAATATATTTTGGTGTGATTCTTCTCTGATATTCAATTATTTTAGAAAACTTTAATCAAATTCTTGTCAAAATTTCAATTATTTTCAAAAGTTTTCTAAAATTCTATGATTTTCAATATCTACTATTTCAATAAAATTTTCCAAAAGAATTCCATTATTACAAAAAAATTTAAATAAAATTCTACGCAAACATTCAATTATTTTCATAAATAATAAAAATTTTTACAGGAATTCAATTATTTACAAATTTTTTTATAAATTTCTTCGCAATAATTCAATTATTTTCATAAATAAATAATAACATTTTTACAGGGATTCAATTATTTTTATAAATAATAAAATTCTTTTAGGAATTCAATTATTTTCATAAATAATAAAACTCATTGCAGAATTTCAATTATTTTTAATGCAATTTTAATCAAATTCTTTAAAAAATGAAATTATTCTTAAAAAATTTTATTAAAATTCGTCCAAAGAATTCAATGATATAAAAAATTTGTTGATAACATTTTTTATGAAAATTTAATTTCAAGAAACATGAAATTAGTAAATTATTTATTTTTGTCTTTAAATAATTTAATTCTCGTAGAATTTACTAACAAAAATGGTTTTAAAAATGAATTTCAGTTAAAATTTGAAATTATATTTAAATATTAAAAGCATTATAACGTGGATTTTTAGAAATAATTAAATTTTGAAAAAGTTTCAAACTAAAATCATTGAAATTTAAACAAAAAATATTTGACTTTCACTCCACTTTCACTCTACTTTCACTTTCACTTTACTCTCACTTTATTCTCAATTCAGTTTCACTCACTCTCACTTTACATTCACCTGAATTTTACTGTTACTTTATTAACATTAAATTTAACATTATTTACACTACAAGTTTTCTCAAAAATTGAAAGGTAATTAATTTTCTTAAAATTTTTAAGATAAGTTGAATTCAATAAAAATAAAGTGACAGTCGAAGAGAAGTGAAAGTTAAGCGAGAGTGATGTGAAAGTGAAGTGAAATTAAAGTGAAATTGAAGTGAAAGCAAACTGAAAGTGCAAAAAAAGTGAAAGTTAAGTGAAATTAAAGTGTAACTAAAATGAAAGTGCAAGTTAAGTGAACTTAAAGTGAAATTAAAGGGAAATTAAAGTGAAAGTAAAGTGAAAGCAATTTTAATCAAATTAAAAATTAAATTAAAATTCGTCCGAAGAATTTAATAATTTAAAAAATTTGTTGATAACATTTTTAGAGAATTTAATTTTAAGAAACATGAAATTAATAAATTATTTATTTTTGTATTTAAATAATCGAATTCTGGTAAAATTTATTCATAAAAAAGTTTTTAAAAATGAATTTAATTTTAAGAAATAGGTATTTAATTATTCAATAAATTATTTACTTTTGCATTTAAATAATTGAATTCTCGTAGAATTTTTCAATAAAAATTGATTTAAAAATTTCATTAGTAATTTTAAAGATTATTTAGGTTTTTAAAAATTTTAATTGAATTTTGGAAAAATTGTAAATAATTGCATAAATTCAATTATTTTCAAAAGTAATCAAATTCTTTTCCAAAATTCAATTATTTTTAAATTTTTTAAGTTTTTAACAAAATTTTTGTTAAAATTCAATTTTTTAAAATTTTTTAATAAAATTCATTTCAAACTTTGAATTATTTTCAAAAATGCTCCTCAATTTCATATGAATTCTATTATTTACAAAATTCTTTATGAAAATTCAATTTTAAGAAATAGGTATTTTTAATTATTCAATAAATTATTTATTTTTGTATTTAAATAATTGAATTCTTGTAGAATTTACTAATAAAAATGGTTTTTAAAATGAATTTCAGTTAAAATTTTAGATTATAATTAAATATTAAAAGCATTATAACGTGGATTTTTAGAAATAATTAAATTTTGAAAAAGTTTCAAACTAAAATCATTGAAATTCTTAATTTTTCATATTTTTGACAAACAATTCTGTAGAATTAATTCTTTTTAAAAGTTTAATAAGATTTTTATTGAAATTATTTTAAGTGTTATATTTTTCAATATAATATTTAATTGCAGAATTTCCGAATAATTGAAATTTTGTAAAATTGAATTGTAAACGAATGAATTTGAAAGTTCTCATAAAACTCATCGCAGCGTTTCAATTATTTTTCATACAATTATAATTGAATTCTTTGAAAAAAGTAATTATTTACTTTTGCATTTAATTAATTAAATTCTTGTAGAATTTTCTAATAAAAATTGATTTTCATTTCATAAAAATGAATTTCATTTAAAATTTTAGATTATAATTGAATATTAAAAGCAATATAGCGTGAATTTTTAGAAATAATTGAATTTTGAAATTAATTTTTTTGAAAAAGTTTAATTGAATTTTCTTTTATATTATTTGAAGTTTTTATTTTCTAATATGCATTTAATTAAAGAATTTAGGAATAATTGAAATTTCGTGAAAATGAATATTGTAAACAAATGGATTTGAAAATTGCCAAAGAACTTTTTCGAAAATGATTAAAAATAATATATATAAAGTAAAATAGTTAAAAATTTTTGAAAATAATAATTGAATTGAAATAATGAAAATAATTTTGAAGAAGTATAATATTCTTATAATATAAAATAATGATTTTATTACTTGGTCATTTCCAATTATTATAAAATATGAAGAAATCGATGACTTCGAGTCGAAGACTCGGAGTTATCGATATCTTCATGTTTTATAGTTATAAAAAAATTGAATGAACTAAAATTTCATTCATTGTAAAAAATAACACCAAAATTGATTATTTTAATCTTTTTTGGTGTTAATTTAATCTGCAGCACTTTTTAATACCTCACGATTTACTGTGGCAACAAATTATTAGTGAGAATGAAATTTATGAATTTTTTTAATAAAAATTTTACAATTCTCTGTTTATAAAAAAACCATTTTTTTATAGATACATCTCGCAACTTTTGGAGAAATTTTCCATTTTTAACTATGACTTTATGTTTAACATATTTTATCATCGGGAGGCATATTACGATCACAATAAAGGAGGCGTAAATATCAGGCTTGATAATAGCAGCAGTCGCGTGTTAAGGAAGGAAACGACTGGAAAAATATATAAGTGCAATAAGTTGACAAAAAAATCACACCGAGTTACATAAATGAAATGTATGTTTCAAGATTTTCACGTCTTGCGGTGCATAATGTCTGGGATACTTCATTTTTTACATTCTCCTAAACTCCTAAATTTGAAATATGTCATCATTATGTACTTTATTACTGTATTAAAATTCTCGCAGAAAAAAGTACGTAAAACTAGAGATTGGTGACAGAAGCAAATGTACTTTTTGAATTTCAAATTGGATATTTCTGCTTTTATAGTCATGGAAATTGTCTATTTGCTATATAGGTTGAAGGTATGCTACAAAGTAGATGCAAGCAATTATAAATAAATGTCTGACTGAAATAACTTTTTCTTTATTTCTTTAATTTACAAATATTACCATTTTTTACTCAATGAATCGTTAATAAATTACGTAATAATTTTTTTCAAAAAACGACTTTTTTGAAAAAAACTTATTTTTTTCAGGAACTACTTAACCGATTTGAATAAAATTTAAATATGTTATAAACATAAATAAGATATTCATAAATAAAACAATTTAAAAAAAAGATTTCAAAATTTTTTTTTTTAAATTCTAAATTAATTAATACCTAATTATTTTTAAGATTTTCAAAAAAAAAACATTTTTTTTAAGTAGATTTTGAACAAAATGAGTTTTTTTGGTTTTTTTCAAAAAAGTCGTTATAAAAAAATCAAAAATTTATTTTAAAAAAATTATTAATGTCTTTTATAAAAAAAGTCCGATTTTTTTCAAATTTTTGTTCACTAGATTTTTTGTTGACTAGATTCTGACCATAGTCAAAATATAAAAATTTTTAGGTTTTAAACTATTTTTGCCGTTGCTCATGTTTCGGTATATTTTTGAATTAGCTTATATAAAGAAAGGAAATAAATAATCCCTTAATATTTTAAGTAAATGCAATGAATTTAGTTTTCGAGCTATACTAAACAGTTACTGAAGTGAACTCTAACCCTGCAGGGCAGATAGCCGGTAGCTGCTTCTAATAACCGGTCACGTAATTGAATGTTATGTCATTATTAGGCGTCAATATATTTGTGATAGTCAAACTTCGTCAGAAGACTTATTATATGCCTCCGGAATCAATGACTCAGTGTTAGTAATTAAATAATTATTTCCATACACAAATCTTGTGTAAAACTTTCGTTTTTTGCAAAAAAAAAAAAAAAATTTCAAGAAACATTATGTTTTATCATAAATTTACATTTTATCTACAATATTTATAAACATAAATCATCACCCAAACCCAAACAAAAATTTATTGTAGTCATTTCAGGGAAATTCCTCGAGAATTCCTCGGTATCATTTCCGGGAACTTTTTCACGTGGGATGTGAAATTTGGAATCCGGGATAATTCATGTAATTGACCCTTAAAATATGCGTTGGAGTGAGTAAAAAAATGAAATTAATTTTGAGTGAGGAGAAAAGTTATTTAATAAGTCGGAAGAAAATGACCGAGTGGCATTTTGAAAAAATAGATTTATAATTATATCGTAGGAGGGAAATGATTGAACAAAGCCATAAAGAGCAATATGGAATTGAAAACAGAAGCCTTATCTACAATGAGGTGTATGAAAAAATTATTAGGATTAAAAACCATTTCCTTGGTATTTTCTAAGTTAAGATAGAAAATACATATATATATGTAAACATTAAAATTATTCTTCGATCTCATGTTTCACAAGAGAATCTCCTTATAATAATTTATGAATTTTATTATAATTTAATTTATAATTTAATTTATAATTTATTAATACTCTTTTTTTAATATAAGGAAAAATATTTTTTTTTAAATTATCCAGATTAACGTTTGAGAGAAAATTGAACGTCTCTATTTAGAAAATTTGGAAAATTGTTAGTTTCGGATGATATTGGCGGATAATAGTCTCTTGAAAAACTACTCGGTTACGATTTGCACTCTGTATAAAGTGTCTCCAAAAGCAATATATTTCAAGGGCTAATAAAAACCTGCCCCAATCGCTGTCATGATTCTAAGAGAAATTCACGCCCACTTGATAAATACTATTGTCTCCGCAGTTCGATTCTTCAAACCACTTCCGATTTAATATCGACCCACAAAATATATTCCATTAGTAGTAAAAGAATAATAGAAAATTTCTCTCATATAACTAAATCAAAAGTCAACATATTTCTTATTTTACTTCATTCCTTTATTTTATAGCTCCAAATTTTTAATAGTAAGAAAAATAATATTCACAGAAATTTCTACTTCCATTAAAAAAAATAAAAAAAAAAAAAATAATTTTAAACAAAAAATATTTTGCAAGTGAACATTTCATTCAATGAATTGAAGCTCTTGATCAGTTCTCTTATACTTTCGAAAAAACCCGTTCTTTTATACACAATAATCCGTATTTAATAAATTATAATTAAAATGAAAATATTTCAGCAATTTTGAAATTTCCATTTGTTAAAGAATTTTTTACAAAGCCATTTTTAAATTAAATTTTAATTTTTTTTTAATGAAGCATTCCATTCTTTTAAGCTGCAAATTAATTAAACTTTCTCTCTATATATATATATTATGACCATAAAAAGTTGTGTAAAAATATATAATAAAATTTTGATTAAAATATTTTACTAAAAAGTATACTAATTTTAAAAATTATAGTTGAAAAAATGTTTCATATTTTTCAGGAAAATTTATATTATTTCTTTTATGTGCATTTTCCTTGTTTAGTAAACAACTTTACACCGTTGACAGTTTTAATATATTCTGACAAATCTCTAAATCCCCACAAGTAGAATTTAATGACAAAGAAAAAGTAAAAAATGCTTTCAAACTTATCTGGTAAAAAAAATTGAAATTCTATTTTTCCGATACTTTATTCAGGGATAAAATTTTTAATAATAAAAATGCAATTGTTGGGAAATGGAAATTTTTAATACTTTTTAATGAACATCGTTTTAGCGGGTACATTTACAAACTATAATAAATTATAAATGTTAAAATTAAAATTCTTGTTCTATAAATCATGGCGAAACAAAATAATATAGCACGGGATCGATTATATAATTTCACTCCACTTTTGTTCCACTTTCACTCCAATTTCACTTTTATTTAAATTTTATTTTCACTCCAGTTTGACTCCACTTTCACTTTTTCTCAAACTTTATTTTTACTTCACTTTAGCTACAATTTCACTTTTACTCAAATTTTATTTTCACTGCACTTTCACTCTACTTTCACTTAAAATTTACTTTTACTCAAATTTTCTTTTCACTCTACTTTCACTTCACTTTCACTCAAATTTTACTTTTACTCCATTTTTATTTTCACTGCACTTTCACTTTTAGTCAAATTTTATTTTCACTCTACTTTCACTTCACTTTCACTCCAATTTCACTTTTACTCAATTTTTATTTCCCCTGCACTTTCACTTTTACTCAAATTTTATTTTTACTACACTTTCACTGCACTTTCACTCCAATTTTACTTTTACTCAATTTTTATTTTCACTGCACTTTCACTTTTACTGAAATTTTATTTTCACTCTACTTTCACTTCACTTTCACTCCAATTTCACTTTTATTCAATTTTTATTTTCACTGCACTTTTACTTTTACTCAAATTTTATTTTTACTACACTTTCACTGCACTTTCACTCCAATTTTACTTTTACTCAATTTTTATTTTCACTGCACTTTCACGTTTACTCAAATTATATTTTTACTCCACTGTCACTCTACATTTATTTTCACTCAAATTTTATGTTCACTCCACTTTCTCTCTACATTTATTTTCACTCCACTTTAACTAAAATTTTATTTTCAATCCACTTTCACTCAAATTTTATTCTCACTATACTTCCACATTCATTTTCACTCCGCTTTCACTCTAATTTTATTTTTACTACACTTTCTCTATTTATTTAAGTGCAAATTAATGTTGATTTAAAATGAAATTAGAGTGAAATTGGAGTAAAAAGAAATTTTAATTGAAAGTGTAGTATAAATAAAACTTGAGTAAAAGTGAAAGTGGAGTAAAAATAAAGTTTAAATGACAGTGAAAGTGGAGTGAAAATGAAATTTGAGTGAAAGTAAATGTAGAGTAAAAGTGGAGTAAAAATAAAATTTGAGTGAAAGTAAATGTAGAGTGAAAGTAGAGTGAAAATATAATTTGAGTAAAAGTGAAAGTGCATTGAAAATAAAAATTAAATGAAAGTAAAGTGTAGTGGAGTGAAAAGTAAAGTAAAAGTGGAGTAAAAATAAAATTTGTGGGAAAGTAAAAGTGGAGTAAAAATAAAATTTAAGGGAATGTGAAAGTGGAGTGAAAATAAAATTTGAGTGAAATTAAATGTAGAGTGAAAGTGGAGTGAAAATAAAATTTGAGTAAAAGTGAAAGTGCATTGAAAATAAAAATTCAGTAAAAGTGAAAGGAACTGAAAGTGAAGTGAAAATGGAGAGAAGTTGAAAATTCAGTAAAAGTGAAAGTGGAGTGATAATAAAATTTGAGTAAAAGTGAAAACGGAGTGAAAGTGAAGTGAAAGTAGAGTGAAAATAAAAATTGAGTAAAAGTAAAAGTGGAGTGAAGGTAAAGTGAAACTAAAGTGAAAATAAAATATGAGTAAAACTGAAAGTGGATTAAAAATAAAATTTGAGTAAAAGTGAAATTGGAGTGAAAGTGAAGTGAAAGTGGAGTGAAAATAAAAATTGAGTAAAAGTAAAAGTGGAGTGAAGGTAAAGTGAAACTAAAGTGAAAATAAAATATGAGTAAAACTGAAAGTGGATTAAAAATAAAATTTGAGTAAAAGTGAAATTGGAGTGAAAGTGAAGTGATAGTGTAATAAAAGTAAAATGAAAATGGAGTGAAATTACATAATCGATCCCCAGTTTTTTTTTTGTCTTATTGTGTGTAAAAGTTTTTTGAAATTAGAGTAAACATTAAATTGCTCATTAAATAGGATCAAGTGAGGAGAGAAAAAATTTTCCGGTGGGTGGAGGATGGTGGTGCTCATCAGAAGCAGTAACTATATCGTATTATATAGATCCTCTCTTTTTATCTACTTATTTTCTTACGCCCCTGGCATTAACTATATTCTTAACGAACGCAATTTTCTTCCAAAAACGAGGGGGAAAAAAATTAACAAGAAAACGTTTGTTCTCACTTCACAATGGTTTGAGTCCAAATGGGTTAAGTGAAAAATCGATGTACGAGAAAAATTCGGACACCTTTTTACCAGTTTGTTTCTCATTCACGTCACTTTCTTTTAACATCTCATATTTTTGCTAAGGAAATAAAAAAAAACTT